TATATACCACATACACTGACCATATAATTACACACCTGATCGACTATGCGGTCGAATAACTCGCCCCCCTCCACCATCTCCATGACTAAGTACAGCTTGTCTGGTGTGTCGTACATGTCGTACATCTGTACGATGTTGGGGTGCTTTGCCCGGCGGGCAATGCTGACCTCGGTCTCAATCATATCCTCTTTGCCCTGAGGATTTGTACAGTAGGTAGGTGTATGGGATTATGCACTGGGTTCAGCAAGGGGTCGGACAGGTGTTGGTATGGTAGGTAGGTGTATGGGATATTGATATATACCATGCACTGGGTTCAGCAAGGATTTCGGATAGGTGTTGGTAGGGTAGGTAGGTGTATCGAGTATTGGTCTATACTATGCACTCCCGCACTACATTGAGTCGGATATAGCCACTCTGCTTCACACACCTGGGAACGGGGGAGAGTTCATCAACCCAACAGACATCAAGACTTGGTAGTCTGAACAGCGGACGGTATACTCATGAGATGACATGGGCCTGATACAATAGACACACAAATACACTATATTTTGTATACATGCATGCCGCTCCAATGAGTGTATGTTGTGGAACCTGAACCCTACAAACTACACTGAGGCGAATTGCGACGCACAATATTACACACAAACCGCCTCCTCCTACAATTTCGAAGGAAGCTTTTGGGTCTGGGTCTACATCAGAAACGGCTCACTCGCATGCATACTTTGCCTATAAACGCTCGTAGGAACGAACAGTGTGCGCGTATATGTATAAGTATTGTCATAACTGGACGAATAAAACACTCGGAGATACGTTACCTTACACAGTTCCTTGTCGATGATCTTGATCGCCACTTTCTCACCTGTGTCCCTCTTGACGGCCGCTTTCACCACTGCAAAATTCCCTCTGAGATAAGGAACAAAACAATAACGAATCAGATTATTTGATCAATAGACAAATATGCATCTATAAAAACACATTTTTATACATGTAAACTTACACATATATTTAATGTGTAGCTATATAAACGTAAATATAAAATTTATAGATATATGTATACATACATAGATATAC